AAGGAGCATGGAAGCCTCGTTGCTGCAGCCAAGTGCGACCAAGAATGCATGCATCACTGAAAGAGTCGCACTTCTTTGAAGCCGAGTAGAGAGACTTGTGATAGAGAGAGACAGTGGCATCTGAACGGAGGCTAGCATTGTAGAACGAAGTCGGCTCGCCAGGTTCAGAGCTGTTAGCAGAAGAACCCTGTCGGATGTTGCTCTTCATTGGGAGTGTTCGCATGATTGGGAATAACGTAGGATCGATTGCGAGCAGGATTCGGATGGATTTTTGAGCCGATTCAGCTTGACGTGGTTCCAACAAGAGAAGGGGACGAAGGCTGTCTCCGTCCTGAGGAGCAAATTTGACATCAAACCCAAGAGCCGCCACAGTCTCTTGGATACCAGCAGCCACGGACGCAATGTAGTAGGCCCTCTTATGGAAGTATCGGAAATTGACATAGTCCTTGTCTTGGAAGAGTGAGCTTGGCATGGTCAAAGCCAAATCAACGGGGCGCGATTCCAAAGTGCGGGCGCCAGTCTTCAAAGCGAAACTACCCACCACGTTGATGTTGGCTGGCTTCGCATACGACATGGTATATTTGACGTCCTTGTTCGGCCGCGGCTCGGGCCATGGAATCAATACGCCAGAGGCACGCAGCTCCTTCTCGGCATCGGTCACGGATTGCGCAGCTTTCTCGGGTATGTTTTCAATGGTGGTTTTGATCTGGTGAAGGGTTTCTTGGAGCTTGGAGACTTGCTTAGTGTAGTTGGGTCTCAATCCCGTGAGCAGCTCATCCATCTGCAGTTTGAAGAAGCTGGATTTGTAGAAGCCGCTGGCCATTGCAAGCTCTGCAGAGCGCTCATCTTTCCCTCGGGTTGCCTGTCGTTTGGGTTGATCCGTTTTGTCAGTCACTTTCGGCGACGTCCGTTTCGCGTCGGTCGAGGAATTGGCGTGAGACGAAGAAGCGGCATTCTCTGGGGAAGAGCTAAGCTTCCGTCGTTTGACTGTGTGTGCCGACATCTTGTAGGAGGGCTGAGTAGAAACTAAGCAGTTTGTAAACTGTCGAATGATTTTTTTTTTTAAGATAACGGGTACGGTAATCTGGTATTGGTATCGTCAGTGCTGACTCATTAGGTACGCATCGCCGAAGTCGCAGCTGAGTACATTTTGAGTCAATCTCTCCATTGCCTTTTCTCTCCTTATTTTTTACATATCCAGATTTTCTTGAAAAGCTTGATTGAACTTCGAAAATGTTACAAGCTTTGGGAGGAACTGTGCCTCCTAACACTGACCATGTATGTTTCGAACCCCGCGATAGACCCCTCCATGGGCCCTTGAATTGTTTCTACTTCAGGTCTAACTCATATTTACCAGGCCGTCAGTGTATCACTACCAACATGGAGAACAAACGTCGGCTACGAAGAAGGAGAAGATTGGGTCATGACCAAGATGAAATGTGGCTATCCCAGGTTCTTCGTTCACCCTATTATTCAAAAGCTCGCCCAGGAAATCGTCCGTCGTGTCGGTGATCTGAACCTTGAGACTGCGACCCTCTTTGCGTCAATTAAGACAGCGCGTATTTGCCATTCCTTTTTGCTCGGCAAAATCCCTGCTGAACAGGCGCACAAAGTCCGCATTGTTAATTTCGTCCCATCCCCGCACACCGAAGCTGGATCCACTGCGGTGACGTCTACCTTGTCGTGTGTCATATATCCAAATGAATACGCCTCCATCGCCAAGCAGGTATGGCAACACTCTGGAAATGGTATTTCGAGCCGACGGGGCGAGTTCTGCCTTGGTGCCCTTGAGGATGGATTCTTGGTGGAAGACAAGGGCTCTGCGACGGCAGAGTTGATTTCGCAACGTCCTTGCAAGGGTCCCCGAAGATACCAAGCCAAGAATGGAGCGAGAAAAGGCTCTATTGGTGACTCGCCCCCCAGGGGAAACGAAGATGGTCGGGACTACGCTCAGTTCATCGAGGAGCGGTTTGGTCGAAACCTCAGCACCTCTCTCGCCAACCAGGCCAAGCTAGCTGTTCGCAAACGCATCGCAGGTGTCTTGACGGCCGATGTCGAGCTACCCGAAGCTCTAGAGACCGCTTCATCAGAAGGGCGTGTCGCCGGCATCTCCGAGGACGACGTCCTCCTCTATCCTTCAGGCATGAGCGCCATTTTCAACGCTCACCAGACCTTGCTGGCCACTCGAGGCGAATTGCCGTCAATCTGCTTCGGTTTTCCTTACACGGATACATTAAAGATCCTCCAAAAGTGGGGACCAGGCTGCGTTTTCTATGGCCACGGCTCCTCAGAAGACCTGGACGATCTGGAATCTCGACTGAAGGCCGGTGAACGTTTCCTCGGCCTTTTCACTGAGGCACCAGGCAATCCTCTTCTCAAAACACCAGACTTGAAACGCATCCGTGCGCTGGCAGACCAGTACAATTTCGCCGTGGTGGTTGACGAAACTATCAGCAACTTCATCAATATCAATGTTCTCCACCTTGCAGACATTGTCGTCAGCAGTTTGACAAAGATCTTTAGCGGAGACAGCAATGTGATGGGAGGAAGTGCAGTGCTCAATCCCCATGGGCAGTACTATGCAGCCCTAAAGAAAAGTTATGACCGGGACTTTGAAGACATCTACTGGGCAGAAGATGCCGTCTTCCTCGAGAGAAATAGTCGTGACTTTATATCCCGTATCGACAAGATCAATTCCACCTCTGAGAATATCACGGCTATGCTGAAGGAATCTCCGTTAGGTACGCCATGTCGTAACCGATATTATGTTAACAGTTATCCTGACCAAATTATAGTGAAAAATGTGTATTACCCCAAATACAGTCCCACAAAACCCTTTTACGACGGCCTCCGCAACCCCAACGGTGGCTATGGGGGACTATTCTCTGTCACATTTCACACAACGGATGAGGCAATTGCTTTCTTTGATACTTTGGAGGTGTTGAAGGGTCCCAGCCTTGGTACCAATTTCACATTGAGGTGAGTGGACTTGAGCCTCCTTGAAAGAACCTTGCTAATTTTCCAGCTCTCCATATGTTCTGCTTGCTCATTACGGTGAATTGGACTGGGTATGTACCGCCTCAAATGCCTGCCAATGATTTCTAACATGCAAATAGGCAAGATCTTTCAACGTGGATCCTGATTTGGTGAGAGTAAGTGTCGGGCTAGAGGAGGTGCCAGATCTACGCGCTAGGGTACAGCGGGCTCTAGATGCAGTGCAAAATGTCCGAAAGTGAAAAAAGACAAGTAATATCGCGTGTCTTACTTTCCAACTATTAGAACAACAAGAATGAGATTATTCATTCTCCGGTTGTTCCATGCACCATGGGAAAGTCCCACCCCCAACAGGAGCCGTCGGTGTCAATCAATGAGGATATGCAGTCTTTAAAGGTCCTGAGGTCCGTAAGTTGAGTTATTTAATATGATACGTAGAAAAATAGACAGCATTATCATTTCAATATACGAATTCCCAGGAAGAAAAATTGAGATCCTACGAGTCCTTGAAATTGCATCCCATTCAAGATGCTGCTCCAGCTCCATCGTCCTTAACTGCCCAATCAAACGCCAAAGATCACAAGGTGGAAAAAGAGTGAATATGTACGAGAGATCGATGCGCTAGAACGTGCGGTCCGAGACATCATCGATCCCTATAGTACTCACGGCCTGGCTTGTCACGCCACCCAGATCACCACTGCCGGTTCTTCTCAAGGCCTGTCGCATCGTCTCAACATTGAGATCACCACCAAAACTGGAAGAGACCGGGCTCTGGGTAGAATTGACAGTAGGCAACCGAGTAGGGGGCATGTCAAGCCCTGTAAAAGAGGTCGCAATGCTTGTTGGCGGGGAAGTACCGAATCCATGCGAAGAAGAGGGAGACCGCAATGGGGACGGTGATCGATTAATACCTCGCTCGCGGATTGGAACACTGGTATGGATTTCGTTTGTTTCTGCATGCTCGGCATTGACAACATCTGCAAAGGAGATAAAGCTCAACCGACGCACATCGGCAGTGTCTAGTGCTCCATAGCTTGAGGAGATATCTTCCATATCAGAGAGATGATGGGCATCGATGGATGAGGACGACATTGATTGCTCTGCAGATGGGACACCAGCGGGCTGGTGGAGGCTATGGGTCACGATCTCGACCGAGTCTGGATCAAGGTGGTCATCTGTGATGGCAGCCGAGGAAGCTTCAAGGACAGGAGGGATATAGTTCTCTGTGCGAATATGCGCGGGTATCGATGGTGATGCTTGTGCTGATACTATATCTTCCTGTACGCTTCGTTCAAATATCTGAGAGGCGGGAGAATGCAAGCGGGGTGGTAGTTGTGACGAGCTTTCAGGAGAGGAAGGGTGCCTTATGAATCTCGTGTCTTGGTTTGGTGTTCGCAGGACTTCAGATGAGCTCACAGGCGATATGCAGCCCCCTATGTCCTTACTCGTCCCGGACGTGGTAGACCCCAGGTCGGGTTGTTTGTCCTTCATTTGGCTCCAGGTTAAAGCGGCAGGCTTGGAGGCCCGTCCACTCCTTGAGTCCGACACATTCTGATCTGACTGAGGGTATTGCGAGAACTGGCGCAAGTCCGTAGAGTCCGTAGAGTCCGACATGGCGATAATGACCGTCAAACCTCCATGACCAAGAAAGTGTGGTGTAGGTTAGAGTTAGTGAGACTATAAAATAGAAGATGACATCTGGGATGTAGACCAGGTGATCAATTCCCCAACAGTCGGGAATACATTGACGTATGTTCGTATTGAGTAATTTGAATACGCTGTATTTTTGTGGTATTGTCCAGGTCAAGGGGGGTCACGAGACCAGGGGAAAAAAGTTCGGGCTTGGACTTGAGATGCCAACACGTCCACCTGGTCCATCTACCCCCAGCTCGCCCTCCTTCTCACCTCGTATGTCAATATCTTGAATATCCATTGTACACTTGTGTGCTTAACTAATTATTGTCTCTCTCATCTAGTTCCTGACCAATTGGCTCTTGTTTGGGACCATGGCGACCTCCATTGCCGCAACGAAGCGGCCGTTCCTCACGCTTCCATTTCTTCTACCCTCCTTGTCCGATTCGCTGGCGCTAGTATTCCGACGGAACCAATCTTCATACCGGCGAACAAAGCAACGTCTACGTGTGAAACCCGATGCCTCCTTCGACCCGTCTCACCAGGGTCGTGATCACATTATCCATAACCCGCCATCAAGCGCTCCATCCGTCTATCACACGCCATCCAAGTTTCTGCCTGCCGATGATGTTCGCAGATCGTCGAACCCTACTACCGTGACAACCAACGCTGAAGATCTCCCTAGCGTCTACAAATCCATGCCAGAGAGGAAATATCACCTCACCCCTTCAGATATTGAAGAAATCCGCAATCTCCGGTTGAATGACCCCATGACTTGGAGCCGAAACAAGCTTGCTAAACGGTTTGAATGCTCGCCCGTTTTCATTGCCATGGTCTGCCAGGCTAGTCCAGAGAAGAGGGAGATCCAAGCCCGGATTTTGGAGGCCGTGCAATCGCGATGGGGTCCTAAGCGTCGCATGGCCCGGGAGGACCGACAGTTGAGGCGGGAGGCCTGGGGACGAGATGCATAGTGTGCCAGCGGCAGTGACAACTTTCTATATGCACGACCCACTGGCTGTAAGTCTTGAGAGATGTCGGGTCCCATAGACAGACAGGAATGGGGACCCTGGACTTTGTAAAGAAACCCTATGTATTCTACTATTCGAGCTACATATGCTATGTAGCATCGTTGTATTTCATACCATTTTATTATGCCTCATACCGTCCCCCATGGATATAACCAGATTTCAGTCAAATAATAGCATAAAAGATATCTAAATCAGAAACATAAATATACCACCTCTTCGCTTGGACAAAGTGGAACTGTCAGAAGTAGCTCCTTTGAATCGCCCAGACTGTGATAGGGTGAAAAAAATTACGTGATAAGAAGTCACTCTAGACATTGGACTCTCCCCGGTTACCTCAGGGCAAAGACGGACATGCCCCTCTTTCCCCTCCGTCGCGTTCCATTCGCAAAAATCGGGCTTTTCTCTCGCTTCTCTCCCTCTGTTAGCCTTTCCTCTCGTCGCTTCTACTACGGGTACATCAGTGATTCCAAAATGGCGCCGCAGTTGGAGCCTTTTTTCAAGCAGTAAGTCAAGCTCTCTAGCCCACCTCTTCAAACACTGACGTTTCTTCAGGGTGGACGACTCGTCTAACTCCTTCATCGATCGTACGTTACCTTGACCCGTCACCTGCCAATTCTTGAAAGGTCCCCAATGAGCTGATTCTTGTCAAGGTCTGCGAAAGGCAGTTGCTATCCCATCGGTCTCCGCGCAAGATGAGAACCGAAAGGATGTCTTCCGGGTAAGTAGGGCTGAATCCCCCAAAGATAGTACCGTATTCTGATATGCTCTTCGCAAAAGATGGCCCAATTTCTTGCCGATGAGCTTGAAGCTCTCGGAGCCGAGGTCCACCAGCGTCCATTGGGCAAGCAGCCCGGCAAGGAGCACCTCGAGCTTCCCCCAGTGGTGATTGCGAGATATGGTAACGATAAGAACAAGCGCACCATTCTGGTCTACGGGCATTACGATGTGCAGCCGGCGCTCAAGGAAGATGGCTGGGCCACTGAGCCGTTCGATTTGACCATCGACGAGAAAGATCGGATGTACGGCCGTGGTGCCACAGATGACAAGGGCCCCGTTCTTGGATGGCTCAACGTGATTGATGCCCACCGGAAGGCTGGCATCGACTTTCCTGTCAACTTGCTCTGCTGCTTTGAAGGTATGGAGGAGTACGGATCCGAGGGCCTAGATGACTTCATCCAAGCCGAGAGCAAGAAGTTCTTCAAGGACGCGGATGCTGTTTGCATTTCTGATAACTACTGGCTCGGTACTGAGAAGCCCTGCTTGACCTACGGTCTGCGAGGCTGCAACTACTACTCTGTCAGCGTGTCGGGTCCCGCGCAGGACCTGCACAGTGGTGTCTTTGGCGGCTCTGCCCACGAGCCCATGACCGATCTGGTCAACGTTCTGTCTAAGCTTGTTGATGCTCAAGGCAACATCCTGATTCCGGGTCTCATGGACCTTGTGGCTCCTCTTTCCGAGGATGAGAAGACCCTATATGGAAACATCAGCTACACTATGGATAACCTCCACGAGTCACTGGGCAGTGAGACTGGCATCCACCCGACCAAGGAGCGCACTCTCATGGCCAGATGGAGATACCCCTCTCTGTCTATTCACGGCATCGAAGGTGCTTACTCTGCCCCAGGTGCCAAGACGGTCATTCCCGCCAAGGTCATTGGTAAATTTTCCATTCGCACTGTTCCAAACATGGAGAGTGCCGACGTGAACAAGCTCGTCTTTGATCATGTCAAGGCCGAGTTTGCCAAGCTGAACAGCAAGAACACCTTGGATGTGTGGCTGCAGCACGATGGTAAGTGGTGGGTCGCCAGCCCGAAGCACTGGAACTTCTCTGCCGCTGGCAAGGCTGTCCAGCAGGTCTTTGGCGTTGAGCCTGATATGACTCGCGAGGGTGGAAGGTAAGATTCTCCTACTATCAAATTTTGACATTGTCTCTAACCGTTGATAGCATTCCTGTCACCTTGACCTTTGAGCAAGCCACAGGCAAGAATGTCTTGCTTCTCCCTATGGGAAGCTCGACTGATGCCGCTCACTCTGTCAACGAAAAACTTGACAAGAGAAACTACATTGAGGGAACCAAGCTGTTGGGAGCATATCTGCACTACGTTGCGGAAGAGCCTACCTCGGCATAGATCACTACTCCAGTTCTTCATCGACATACAGTACACATTCAGCTGTCTCGGCTGACCATAATGATAAGATATATGCTCGGACTTGGTGATCACCCACAGAATAATGAAATAACACTGGAAGTGGTCTAAACCTTCCCAATAGTATAAATTATCATCTTGTCCAGGTGTACTTTACACCTAATTAGAGTAAATTTGATATTTCACTCTTATCGCACTTGTCGGGCCCCTCTGCGAGGTCCCCCGCCTATCAATTTGCTTAGTAAGGACCACATTTGACGCGAATTGCGCGACGCGACTATCAGTACCTCTTTGTGTCTACAGCCAACCCGACTGACGTTGACTTTTTGACCATGCGCTAGCTGCTGAATCTGTCGACATTCTCAGTTTTTCAAATGCCATCCCTCAAGCGCCTGCAGACGTCTGCCGACTCCGACGATGCATCCGATCAATCTACCATGAATTCTCCTCACACGGTATGATTTTCGAGCTAAAATTGATGATAAGATATTAACATCATTAACAGAGAAAACGGCCACGAACATCTGACCCGCCAGACCCCGAAGACGATGAGACCCTCCGAGATTCATATCTCTCCGTCAACGACGACGCGCTTCTCGATGATGAGGACGAGCTAGAACTCCGCCAGACACAAATAATTCAAGACAAATATGCCCACCTTATCGATGAGGCCAACGTGCCTGCTGAACATGGAATCTTGGAGCGCGTCGAATGTTACAACTTCATGTGCCATGACCACTTCAACGTGGAATTGGGCCCTCTGATCAATTTCATCGTGGGAAAGAATGGCAGCGGCAAGAGTGCTATTCTTACTGCCATTACTTTGTGTCTTGGTGGCAAAGCTTCTGCCACAAATCGAGGGCAAAGCCTCAAAAACTTCATCAAAGAAGGCAAAGAGAACGGCACAATCATTGTTCGTATCAAGAACCAAGGCGATGGCGCCTACATGTCGGATGATTATGGAAAATCTATCATCGTCGAACGTCACTTTTCTAGAAGTGGTTCCAGTGGATTCAAGATCAAGGCAGAGAATGGGCGCATAATTTCCACCAAAAAAGCCGAGTTGGACGCCATCACAGACTATTTCTCCTTGCAGATCGACAATCCTATGAACGTGCTCTCTCAGGACATGGCTCGCCAATTCCTCAGCACCTCAAGCCCGGCTGAGAAATACAAGTTTTTTGTTAAAGGTGTGCAGCTCGAACAACTGGACCAGGATTATCGTTTGATCGAGGAATCTGTCGACCAGATTGAGGAGAAACTCAGAACTACGGCACAGGACATCCATGTGCTTGAAACCCGCAAAGACGCAGCGAAGAAAAAGCTACAGATCTCTGACCAGCACGATTCCCTGAGAGCTCGTATTAGGAACTTCCGAAGCCAAATGGTCTGGGCTCAGGTTGAGGAGCAAGAACGAGTCGGTGCCATTTCCCCTCATTTCCAGCTCTGCTGTCTAACAAGCCTCAGATGCAAGCCTCACTGACCGAAGAAATTGCGAAGGCGGATGAACTGATTATCAACGCGGAGTCCGAACTCGCTAGGTTTGATGATGCCTTCCAAGCAGTCGAGACAGAGCGTGAAACCGCTGCTGAACATTCTTGGCGAGCTGCTGCGGCATTGGAAGAAGCTACAACCGAAAAGGAAAAGATCAAGGAAAAATTGGACGCGGAGATGAATAGACGACATGATCTACAGGTAAGATCTGAACCTTCCCCCGGTTTGAGTACTTTCTAACCCTCTCTCCAGGCCGAACAGCGTCAGATCAGGGAATACCTGAGATCAGCAGAGACTAGAATCCAGGAAACACAGCAAAAAGTTTACGAAGAGAATCAGCGTCTCGCCGATGCAAGCGGCGGGGGTTATGCCCGAAAACAAGAGGCATGTGAACAGGCTGCAAATGACGCCGCTGCTGCTCAAAAAGAATACAACGAGCATCGTTCGGGTGTAAACCGTCTACGGGAAGAGGTCGAAACGTCCCGAAAGGAATTTGAAGCAACTCAAGGACCCATTAAGGAGAAAAGACTGGAACTTGATCAAGCAGAGAACCGCTTGCAAACACTCACTCGAGAAGGTGGAGCAAGGCAGTCCGGATATCATCCCAAGATGTCAACCTTGCTCAAGGCCATTCAGCAAGAACAATCCTTCGAATCTCGACCTGTCGGTCCAATCGGTCACTACGTCACCTTGCTACAGCCAAAGTGGTCCTCCATCCTGGAGAGTTCGTTCGGTGGTACACTTGGCAGTTTCATCGTGACTTCAAAAAGAGACATGAACATTCTGTCTAGTATCATGCGGCGAGTAGGCTGGTAAGTATATCTGTATATCGCAGAAATATTTTGCGAGGGCTAAATGGCTAATATCACCCATGATAGTAACTCTCCGATATTCATTGGCACTGGCGGCCATTTGGATACCTCGGCGCATGAACCAGATCCTCAATTTGACACTGCTTTGAGAATCCTCCAGGTAAGCTGAGATTGTACAACCGAGGATAGGTATCACTGCTGACTGTTACTTAGATTGACAACCAATTAGTTCGGAAACAACTGATCATCAACCACGGCATTGAACAAATGTTGTTAATAGAAACGCTAGAAGAAGCATCATCCGTACTCTTCGATGGTGCACGCCCAAGGAACGTGAAACGATGCTACTGCATTGATGCGAGAGATAGACGCCGCGGGATCCATCTGTCATACAGTCGAGCCGGTGAACCAAGTCAAGCTCCAGTGTCGATGTACAGTGCTCACCCGCGCATGAAATCAGACCTGGCTTTACAAATCAGGTACGAGCCTA